CCTCGCTTATTGGAAATAAATCCCTTCCAAATAAATCTAGTTGATGCTACGTGTCCCTCCAAGTGGTTAAACAAATTATTTAATTGTCCTCCATCTCCTCCTAACTTTGAAGTTGGGCTGCCACCTCTCGCTTAGCCCTTTAGGCTATTTTATTTCATTGTTAAATACTCCAAATGTAATAGGCCTATCAAATTAACGGGTCTTTCAATGAATAACTCTTGAGCTGCCTGTGTCTTTGAGAGAAATACCCCAATATGCTGAAAATAAACAACATAAAAATATCAATGTACATGAATCTATCCAAATAATAAATAAGTCGAAAAATATATAAGTGCGATAAGCTTAAGCATATAAAAATACACTTATAAATATATAATATATACACTTTTTTCGACCAATCAAATCTCCCCAAACTTAAACTGTTGCTTGTCCCCAAGCAACTTAGAACTATAAGCACGTAGATGGACAAGAAAACAAGTACGTGGAACTTTACTCAGGACCTCACAATTCTCACATAAGTGCATAGTTCAATCAACTCAAATTAATTTATCCGGACTCAAGCTGAAATCATTTTAAGAACTCAAACAATCAAGTATCAATTCAAGTGACCACCATAGTTTGTCAATCTCTATAACAAATGCACCGATCAATGCAACTCACGACACCCCTCTCTTTGCTAACAAGTCTAGTTTCTTTCCATTTCTAGTCGAAGTTTAAATGTCTCATTCTCCAAACTCTTTTTTTTCTTTTTTTTTTCGAAGCAGGGAACGGCAGCTCCGTCACAACCCGCGGGTTTGAGCCTTTCGTGATTATCTCGATACAAGAATTATTGAATTTGTACACTAGAGCCCCCACGGATTGGCAGCTGTTGCAGCCCATGACTTTTTTTTTTCTTTTTTTTTTTATTTTTTTTCTGTGCCAAACGGCTTTTCAACTCCACCAAATTTTTTTTCTCTTTCCTCATTAATCATTATACATTTTTTTTTTCGACTATGAGACATAGAAACCCCAACTTTCAACTTCAAGTCCCCAAACTTAATCAACATTGATAAAGCAATCACAAGCACATCTCAACAATACAAATCGCCTCAAAACCAACTCACTATAAATGAATCACAAAAATATTAACCATCATGCCTTTGTTCCCAAAATAAAAACACCTTAAGAATTTAACCAAATAAAATTAACTCAAGCCATTTAAACTAGCACAATAAATTCAAACCAACTCTCATGTCATCATCGCAAAATTCCACGTATGCAATCTCACGCACACGCAAGACTAACATATATCATGCAATTAATCTAAGACTCAAACTCTAAGGGGCAAAAATATAATCACATAATAAACATGAATGCTCACCAAGAAGAACCTCCCCAAACTTAGAGTTTGCATATATCATCGACACTCAAATAGACACAATAAATAGAGATAAAAGAAACGAGTTCACCTTAGTATGCAGAGAAGGTCGCCGAACCATGCACACCATTGGGAACAAAGATTAGACTAAACATAGAGAGGTAAATAAATGGGAATGGATGAAGTCCGTCCTCTAAGCTGTCGTCAGCTCGTGCCGTAAGGTGTTGGGTTAAGTCCCGCAACGAGCGCAACCCTCGTGTTTAGTTGCCATCGTTGAATTTGGCTGACCTGTGCTAACTCCCTTCCAGCCAACCTTCCAGTTGGGCTTTCTATTTCTATTTAGGGTCGATTACATTGAGGAAAGGAAATGGCTCAAGTTGCCACAAACAGGTTCGATGCAATTGAAATCGGAAATCTACGTCACCACGGATTCCTGACAGTCAAAGGTGGATTTAAAAAACCTCGCGAATTAACTTGGGTTACAGGTGTGGTTCTGGAAGTATTGACCGCATCTTTTGGTGTAACTGGTTATTCCTTACCTCGGGACCAAATTGGTTATTGGGCGGTGCCTCCCAACAAGCGCCTCTTTTTATTGTCGTTGGCCCGACTTATTGCTTCCTTTTCATCAAATGGTCCATGGTGGCTTCCAGGGTGGTCTCAAGGGAGCCACAAATCTCACCACACCATGCTTGACGACATTCCATATCCTCGGTGTTGGATGCTTCACCGGATCTTTCCTCCCTGATGCTAATTGCTCAAGAATATGTAGCAACCCGTGCTCAATCACGATCATCGTCTCATTGAACTCCCACTTACACCTTTCGTTCTGCTCGATCGTCTCAAGAGAAGATATATCAAGGCCCAAGACATGCTTCAGTGCATCTTTACTCAGTACCCACTTCATATTGGAAGAGATAAGACATGGTCCAGCTTCTATCGGCACAAAAGCGGGGAGAACGGTACGCTTTTTCACTACAGCAGGTCCAGTACGGGGTACATCAGGCAGAGTATGGGGCACCCCCGTACTGGGCTGCTTCGACTCCGTTTCCTCTGTGTTCGTGATTTTTTCGTTCTCCGACTCGTATGTGCCCTCTTCAGGTTCCTCGAGGTCCTCGCTGCACAAATGAGTGACGCTTGAACTCATCGGACTTGTTTCGAGCCGACACACTAGTCGGTCCATTTGTTCCGCCAGTTGGCTCATTTGAACTTGTAAATTCCTTATGCGTAGTCCTTGGCTCTCGAGGCTCTCCTCTTGGTTCTTGATGCTCAGTTCTTGGCTCTTGATGTTAGCCTCAATGCTTTGCTGAAAGTTAAGGGTGTGAGCCGTCAACTCCATCATAATATCCTCGAGTGACAGACCAGGATCTCCCTCAACAATGGGCTCGCAGAACTCTTGCCGAAATTTCAATGTGTTTAACCTGAATGCCTCTACCATATCCTCCACAGACGGGCTGGGATCTCGCGCAATTGGTGGCTCGGAGTACCCATAGAAAGAGTTATAGTGCTCTCTCAAACGGTATCCATACTCATCGGGATATAAATAGTCTTGCTCGTCCCTTCGCCAACCATTAGGTTCTCTTACGCCTTGATATCCAATCCACAGGCCTCGTATCTCCCTCTCATACTGGTAAGGTGCCTGGTGGGTATAAAAGTTGTGATAATAGGTTGCCATCTCGAAAAATTGCACCAAGCTCGATCAAAAGCGCCAACTAACCCGCGAGTATGGGGTCAAACTTTTCTGTCCAGCAGAGTACGGGGGCGCCCAATATTCTGCCAAGAAGAAAAAAGAAAAACAAGAAAAAAAAGGGGGTAAAAGATATAAAATAAAATCCTAAAAGAAAAGCAATAAAAAAGATAATAATTCAATTAGTACTCAAAAATCACAATTCAATAACGCCACTCCCCGGCAACGGCGCCAAAATTTGACCGCGCGTCGCAACGCGGCAAAATTAAAATTTATATTTTTCCTTGACTAACCGCTACTAACTGGTAGTAGTGGCGAGCAAGGGTCGATCCCACAGGGAGTGTGAATCAAATTATGAATTTTCTCGTATTAATTGAATTATAAAAGCAATAAAGGGAGGGGGGTGGATTTAATTACTAAAATAACTAAAATCCTAATGAAGCAAATAAAATATAAACTAGAAAATAAAAATAAAATAAAATAAATAAAGAGAAATTTCTAGTTCACGGTTCCGTCTACACCCTCGACTGACTCGTCTAATCAACTTTGGTATCAAATCTCGTTATCTTATGAAATTACTAGCCCTAGGCAACGACACGGTCTGTTACCCGAATTTTTCCTTATTTATAATCTAACCGCGAGACGCTCTACGATTAGACCTGACTTCTTGTACAGTCTAGAAAACGCTTCTTAGATTTAATACAATCAGCCGCTTTACGTATTAGAAAAATAGGCTAGACTAAGTAGTGACGCATTCGTTCACTTAAATAGGCTGTGTTATCCCCGATAGTTACCGTCTTCCGGTTACCTCTTATGAATTAAACACAACAACAATTATGGATTGCAGGTCTAATTCAGATGTAGATATGAAAAGCCTAATCTAGGTGATCAATCTAAACAAGACTAAATACATCATGGTTAATTATTCAAAATAACACAAGCAATTCCAAAAAGATATTAAAACCATCAACCATATAATCAATCAAACATAGTCAATCGTAGGGTTCGACTTCCTCGGAACTAGAAATAAAAACTAGCCTAACATGCTAAATAAAAATAAAAAGATAAAAGAGAGAGATTAATTATCTCCCTCGTGTACGGGTGCGGCCTCCCTCCGCAATTAACTGGCTTCTCGTATCTTTTCTCTGTTCTCGCGTACGATTGCTGCCCCTTTTTCTTATCTGTTCGTGGCGGCTCCCAGGCTTTGCGTGAATAATTCTTTTCTCCCC